AAAAAAATAAAAATTAAGGAGTGCCTCAGAAACATCTGATAGGTTAGTCTATGCTGCAAACAGGATACAAGACGAGACAGACTTATTTCAAACTGACAAGCTCTGTACAGCTTGCATGAATTAATAGAACATTTAATTAATAAATGAATGAATTAATTAATATTATCTCCCCCACTCTCCGTACAGGACTTAAGATGTCTTCCAGCATAAATTTAAACAAAAGACAGCTAAAATTGATCAGTTACAACAATGTCACTCTAGCTCTGATGTGAGCAACCAGCAATTTTTTGTCTAGTGGGCCAAAAACCAGTACATTGCCTACAAGAAAAATGCTTTATCAAGAGGGAGGTAAGACTGTATCCTAATAGATTGGTCTCAATGTTTTCAATGAAATTCTCTTTTACAGCAACAGTGGGCAAACAAAGCAGAAAGTGCTGTCATTATTATACTCTGGTACCCTATTGGCTGAACAATGCAACTTTATCCTCCTAATTTTTTTCTCAACTCATGTTTTCCTGTTTAATTTCTTCTATCTCATTCAATCTCTTCCTAATAGAGCTTGGAAAAATTACAGTTCCCATAATATCTCAGCCAACATGGCTTTCAGAAGCTCTTTATTTCTGTTTTCTACTTATCTGACAGAAAAGGGAAAGCTGTGTTTTCAGAAGCACTTGTGGGATATTTCCTCCCCTGTCTCGTGGGCCATAATAATATCTGGGTTTAGAAATCATTTAATAGGGATATAAATCCTCAATTATTTTGTCCTATATGCAAGGATAAAACAATTAAGGATTTACATCCCTAATAAAAAAGAGGTAAAGGTATTCCCCATTGACAAGGTTGTCAAGTCGTGTCCGACCATAGGGACCAAAGAAACTATACCTAAAGCCAGGTATAATTATGGCCCAAAAGGCAGGAAAATCCCCTTTCCTAGCCAAGAAAAAACCCAAAACAGTAACAATAACAAATGAAATAATTATTTCCTGCCCTTTCATAACACCCCGAATCTGCCGCCTGAAGTGGCTGCTTTGTTCAGACTAACGATAGGACCAGCATCTGGCAGAACCCATGAACGCCCATGAAGCATATCTGGTGATAAAGTACATGTACAAATTCCAGTCTGCACCTGATCTCCTAGAGATCAAAGACTCTTCCCAGTTCTAAAGCTGGCCAGCAAAGCTGTACAAAGACCTGATCAAAGGGCAAACAATTAATATTCATACTTCACAGGTGACAAACAAGTAGAGTGAACAAAGAAGTGAGCTGCACAAATGAAGCACAGTAGATTTCTTTTTTTAAAAAACAGTTGTGACAGATTGAGTCTCCCTTATCTGAAATGCTTGGGAATAGAGGTGTTTTGGATTTCAGAGTTTTTCAGGTTTTGGAATATTTGCATATACATAACGAGATATCTTGAGGATGGGACCCAAATTTAAACATGAAATGCACTTATGGTTCATATACACCTTATACACACAGCCTGAAGGTAATTTTATATACAATATTGTAAATAATTTTGAGCATGAAACAAAGTTTGTGTATGCTGAACCATCAGAAAGCAAAAGTGTCACTATTTCAGACACCTATGAAGACAATTTTGGATTTTAGAGTATTTTGGATTTTGGAATTCTAGATAAGAGAGACTTAACTTGTATCATTAAACTGTTGTGAGTCTGAAATATTTGCCTATTTCCCAGAAGTCTATCAAAGGGTCCAGTCTTCTGTCTGTTTGCCTTACTCTCAGCATAGAACATACACCCTACTCTATTCATGGCTGTGCAACACACTTACCAGATTTTCAACTATGCGTGAAAAGTTCCGAGTATCAATAGGAACCTCCTTAAAGACGCAACCTTTGCTTGGCTCAGGTGATGTGGAAAATGACAACAGCAAAAGGAAGACCTAGGTGGATATGGGGATATGAAATGCAAGTCAAAGCTCAAAAACGCCCCAGCCTTTGGTTTCTGGAAGTTCACAGCTAGCAGATGATGCAAGCATAAAATCTCATGATGAATCATTCCCATTTGATGAACTGCAGCTCTCAGAATCCCAAAACTCCCTGATCTGCTTTACAACTGACCAGCACCTGTCTTGTCTGGATTAAGATTCAATCTGTTTGCTCTATAGAGGCAGAAGCAGAAGAAACTGAAAGATTCTGTGCTGGAGTCCAGGAAGAAATTGATTGCACATCAAAACAAGACTTGTTATTAATCATAGGTGATTGGGATGCAAAAGTAAGAAACAGTAGTATCAAAGACTGTAGAAGAATTTGACCTAGGATCAAGAAATGAAGCAAGAGAGCAAATGACTGAATTTTATCAGCCATCAGTTTGTTCAGCGCCAATATAGTCTTCCAGAAAGCGGACAGGACAAATTAATGGAAGACAAAGCTGTTAACCGACATGAATCACTATGACTGTATATTATTTCCAGCACACTCTCCAACTGGATTTGGCAAGAATATTCCTGATTAATCATCTGTCATCCCACTTTTCCAGCTGCTTTTAAAATGCAGGCCTTTGGTCTGATCCAACTGAGCCTTCCTTACATTTTTTAAACTGGAGTTTCTGATAGCATTTGTTTTATCTTTTATGACAATGATTAACACTGAAAATAAAAACATATGCAGGCACTTCCTTTGACCACTGTACAGTTGCCCCTTCCAATTCACAGAGGATCCACTCCGGATCCCCCTGCAAACATGGTGGCTCACGAATATTCGAGACCCATTGAAAATAATGGTTTGCACCGGCACGTGGCAGCATTTTATCTATAGCCACTTCTACCTCACACAGAGCGAGAGGGGAAGGAAAACTGTGTAACTACAGCTAGCCTGAAAATACTGCAAATAAGAGGAGGTATTACACAGAGCAAAGGTTACTATTTCTAGGTAGTACTTCCTTCCACCTTTTGAGTTCTTTATGTAATCTATGATAAGGCCAATGCATTAATATTATGTTAAGGATTTTTACAAGTCAAAGCATAAAGTACCTTTTGCCCCTTACAAAATGCAATGTAATTTTAAGACATTTTCCTGAAAATGATATGGGGGGACAGCATTTTCATTTGCAAAGAAATGAAAATTCATTAGCTCCCCTGCTATTCTTAACAGTGGCAGCAGCTATAAGCAGTATGAACTACACAGGACAAACATCAGCAAGAAATGAGAGGGAGGGAAGAAGAGGAAGCCTGCGATGCCAGGTCTTGCAGTATGAAGGTGGAAGACTTGGGGAGGAGGATGCACAGAGGCTATGAGAGGAGGAGGAAGAAGAAATGGCAGGAGTGGAAGAAGAGAGATATGCAGAGAAGGAAGGAAAGAATGACTAAAGAACGGACAGATGAGAGGTGGTGGTGGAGGAGGTGTTGATGGAATACAAAGGAACAGAACAGAATCTGAATGTCAGAGAGACATTTGAGAATTTCCCAGTTCCTTTGGTCTGTCCCAAGTTCAAAATAAACTGGGGTGGAAAATAAAATTGTGGTTGGAAATTATTGCCTTCATTCTAGAAGGGTTTTTTTTGTGTAACATAATATAAATTTAAATGTAAATGTATTGTTAAGTGTAATAAATATCCACATTTCTGTATAAATGCTATTTAGTTTGCTATTTAGTTTAAGCATAACATAACACCACTTTTACTTTAACTTTTGTAACTCTGCAGATCACACCAAAGTGTTGGGTTCCTTAACTAGAATCTGATCTGCTATGTCAGCTAGCCTTCCTCAATCCACTGCTTTCCAGACCATATTAGATTGCAACTCCCATCCTCCCCAGTCATGCTCTTTCTATAATGGAAGCAATAATATAACACATCTGGAGGGCACTTGTTTTTTTGGGGGGGGGCGGGGTTCCATAATGTACATGAGCACGTTAGAAAAGAAGATGGCAGAGGATGATGGTGGTAGCCTTCGGTAGTCTCTGGGGCTCAGCCAATGTCCTATCTCTCCAACTTATACAGAGCTGCCGGACAACTCTCAGAATGCCTCACCCAACTTGGCTGCAGCCCCTAGAACTGTAAGCGATCACAAGGGCCATCCAGTCCAACCCCCCCCCC